CGTCAGTAGAGGATTTCCCTATTTATGAAACTGATGTTAAGGTAAAGCTGAGAGCGAATGATTTTCATTGTAGGTTATGAAGTAAGCAAAAACAGGGCACACTGGATGTATGGGGATGAAGTCAGCTTTTGCTTCTAAGAGATTCTGAAGGGCAAAAAACAGAGGTGTAACTGTTTTGCACAGTTGCAGGCTGTCGAAGACAACACAGTGGAACTTTTGTGCGCAATTTTTGTGTAAATCCAATGGAACTTATTTGCTTTCATCTTCATAAATACGGAAACCTTTTACTGAAGACGAGTTTTTACTAGACAATTCCCACTTGCATAAGCCCAGTTTTTGTTTACCTTTGCTTTTTATGCGTTTCTGCCGTGTAGCTCTAGAGCACTGCAACAGGCAGCAAAAACGCTGCGATAACCCTCTGTGTGTGTGTGTTCGTCTGTCCGGATATTTCTACTCACCAACCACGCACGCTTTGATGCTGAAATTTTGCCAGTGTGTTCCCTGGCCAAGTAGGAGTCCAGGGACGTGATATCAACTGCCACTCGCGTCTACATCTCACATATAGGCTCGTGAAAGTTTTGGTGGGAAAACTGCTAACTAGGGGACGTGAAATGCTAAAATGTTGAAATTTTAGGAGGATGCTCCCCACCCATGTATGATCAGGTAAGGAACATTCTCTTGAAGTCTCAACTTTCTAGTTTTAACTTTCTAGGAACATTCTCTTAAAGTTTAGACAGGTTTCAAATCCGGCTGCTTAAAACTGCCCAGGACTCACGTATGGGCACGTAAAAATTTTGGCCGGAAAACTGCTAGCTCAGGAATGAGAAAGGCTAGAAAGCTGAAACTTTACGGGAATATCCCCCTATTCACGTACGACCAAAAGTTTTCAAATTCAGCTCCTCAGAACCGCCCGGGACACACGCACAGGCATGTGAGAATTTTGACGAGAAAATTGTAAGAAGCTGGAATGCTGGAATTTTAAGGGAAATGTTCACGACTCCTGCACGAACAAAAGACTTCAAATTCAACTCCTTAGAGCCGCCCGTATTTCACGTATGGGCACGTAAAAATTTTGCCGTGAAAACTGCTAACTCGAGAATGCAAGAAGCTGGAAAGCAGGAATTTTAAGAGGTCTTCCCTACTTATGTACGACTAAAAGACTTAAAATTCAACTCTTTTAGTGGGATCTTTTTAGCGCATCAGTATCCACTTCTCGGGTCACTGAAGCAGACAACTACAGCTGACATGCCACACAACTACATAATTAACTTCTTGAAATTCGAGAGCCAGTATGTCACAAATTTTAACTACTGTGATTCCTTGTGATTTTGTTACAGCACGAAACAGTGCAAAAACGCATGATCACACCGGCCTCCCTGGTGCGATCCAGCCTGGGTTTTACTTTTGTTTACAGATTCCAATTTTTAGATTTCGCTTTCTTTTTCCTTTTATTCATAAGTTCAGGTTTGTTTTAATTTACTTTTCTTTGCAGTGCTGTGTTGGCTTCCTTTTCTCTTTATTGCTGTCTGCAGTTTTTGCCTTGAACTGACTAGTACTCTTGCTGCCCTTCTCCATTCTGGCCCCAATTCCTACCTCCGGAGCCGCACCGGCGCACCACCACCCATTTCACCTCCTCACCACTAACCAATGCTACCATTTACCGTCCCGAACTCCTGACTAGTATCCTCGTTCTTCTCCTCTATCCTGCCCCCAAACCGCGCCCTCTAAGCTGTATCTGGGCACCTACCAATCATCACCTCCCAACCACGTCCAATCCCCGCACCTACCATCCCCCAACCATGCGATCCAGTCACCAAATGCTGGGCAGCGCTACGCAACGCCCTCGGCAATGCGCCAAGAGCTGCCCGCGAACGACGCCGCGAAATGTGTTGGTGGAAAAGCTAGATCGCTTTCACAGAACTGCATTCTGTGCACTGTAATTGTTCTTGTCCAGTCTTCACAAGAATACCAAGACTAGCCAACACACAAATGATGTGCAGATTCCATATCAGTGATGCTTCCCGCATGCGTCGCAGCTATATCAGGAGCTTCAATATTGAGCTGCACACCTCCAGTCAGTACTTACAATCTGTTCGATGTGTGTGAACCATCTCTTTACGCTCTGACCTGTCTTACTGATTCCGCCCCACTAATGCAATATGCCCATAGCTGCTAGCAAGACCAAGCGACGCCCCCTAACAATTAAATTCCACTTTCTCATATGTTCGCAATTTCTTGAACGGAGAGGCTGACTATTAATGTGGTCACGAAAAGATGCTTCAAACACTCTTAGCTCAGCTGCTCTCGCTGCAAGAGCCAGTGACCACGTTTGGCATCCGTATGTCACTGCTTACAGCACACTGGTAGTGAACAGTTGGGCATCGTTCTTTTTATTCGACAGCGTGAAGATGTCGATGTACTACTTCAAACACATTGCTTTTGCTGTGCTATTTGCAGAGATCCCGCATATGCAGTGCTACTTCTAAAACTACTTTTAAACATCCTGTACTACTTTTAAACATCCTGCTCTTAATGCACTACTTCCACAGCTTTCGTTTTCGCCGTGTTATTCTTGGAGCCGCTCTTCCTGTGCTGTTTCACAGCTAGCTCACTATCCCATCAGTGAAGAAGCTGATTCTGATCAGAAACAGTAACTTTTTGCAACAGGGCTTTTGCAAATTACGCTACAGTCGGTGAACACAAATTCTATCGGACAATATTCACTACACTGCGATTATGAGTGCTGGTATAGCCGCCAAAACGCACAATTAATTCATTATTTCCAATGAACAGTCATAACCGCTTTTCATTACAATACTCCCTTGTCAACCAAGCCAAAACTGGCCCAATTACTGTATTGACTTCAACAAACATACTCTCAGAAAAAGCAAATTGTTTTAATTTTTGGAAACATCACTAGGACTATGCGCTTTAAGGCAATGATAAAATATCAGCATGACAAACGAACCATCGTTGGAAAATTCTGGGATTTGTTTCAAAAGCTCAATTATTTCTGTGTCCAACTTAAGATCTGACAGATCGGTTGAGAGGTCCAATTCGTGTTCTTTCTTCAGCCAAGCAAGAATTGCTTGTTCCGGCTATAAACTAACCAAGAATTACATTCATCGAGAAACACCACAATTACAACACATACCTCGAGAAAATCAGCAGTGAAAAAGTTTAGAGATAATATGCTATTTATGGACCTCACTTCGTAGAAGTATATGAGAGCTAATGTTCTGGGAATCCTGCCCTCAACAGTAACGCCCTAGCATTCTTGTCCTCGACTAGCTAACTTCTTGCGACCCTATTCTCCCAATATACCACTGTCCTCAACTCTTGCACTTGTTAGCTGTCATTTGAATTACAAAAACGTACTGCCCATTTTCCTTTTTGTGGCCATTCAAGGAAACAAGCCCATTAATTATAAGCAAAACAGACTTATGTCATCCGCAAAGTTCCACTACCCTATACGGCCGCGATGCCCTATCAACCATTCATGAACAGTTATTTATCAATTTTTGGACGCTTTACGAATTACCAAGCACAGTTTTTTCCTGCAAAACGCTATATACTAACCAGTTTGGCTTGAGAGAACTTGTAGCGGCGCTGACTGGCGACGTATCTGCCACCGATCAGTGACTCGATATCAAAAGGCTGAAAAATGTATGCATCCCATCACTCAATGTTCTCGCCATCCAACAGATCCGAAATTTCTTTGGAAAAACAACTCCAAAAATAATCTGTACCTTGAAGGCGTGCTGAATCCATTTATCATACTCATCATCCCGCTCTTCATTTTCTTTCCCAGACAGCTTCACCGCTTTATGATTTCTCTGATCGCCCGCAGAGGTGGGAGGTGCAGGAGCAAGATTATAACGCGCACCAGCAGGACGACTGCTCGACTGAGCATTTGGAGGTAAATGAGCGCTTGGCGGTGGTGTATGGTCCTCACGGCGAATTAACCCCTAAAATTCCGAGACTGTTTCCTGAGGCAATGCAGAGACTGAATGAACTATGCACCAGTCAATCACAAAGTAAAATCTACACACAACTTCAGATCCGACGCACCAATGAATCACAGCACTTCAAGCGCAACAGCTTCATTGCACTCAGAAACAGTGTACTGCCCTAAGAAAGGAATGAGAATGCATAGACCGGCTTCCGCACCCGTTCAAAACCTCGGTACCCTCCCGAAATCTCGGTCCCTGGTTCCGCTTCCCATTTTCTCAAAACATAGTCTGATCTCAGCAATTTTAAGCTCCACTTAGCACCTCGAAATGCATTTAATGTCAGCCAAATCCGCACACTTCTTAACTGATTTTACGCACACTTCACCACATATCTTCCATCCCAGCAAAAATAAATAGCGTGCTACCGGCGGGTACGGGAAGGCTGAAGTTAAATTTGGTGGGTCATACGTTGACGGGGAACAGTACCAAAATTTCAGCTGCCTAGCTTTTGTGATTCCCGAGTTGAAAGTGAGAAACAAAATCTGGGACACACACATAAACACAGAAAAACCCGTGACAATATGCGTTTTGTACTGCTGTTACACAGCAAAAAACGCATAATAAAACACACTTCCTTCTCACATGCTTCCCCGTCTCTCGTGTCCGCGACAGAAAAACAAAAAACATCAAATCAAAAGACACATTCAGTAAAGATATAAACAGTAAAAGAAATTTTACCTGGGTGTGACGCGATCCGATACCGGGCGGTGCAATGACGTTCCCATTCTACAAATAAAAATGAACTTTTTTGAATCGTAAATAACAATATTCCTTATCAAATCACAGAGAAAAGAACTCTTTTCAAAGATGCTCACGTACAAATTAGAAGTCCATTTGAGCTCTCGTAGATTTTTTAATTTTAATTATCCCGAATTATCTCTGCTTCACACTGCACTTTTCCTTCCAGTCACCGCCTTATACTGATTATCATGATTACTATAACAGCGTTTCAAACAGAACATCTAAAAGCAAGTAAAAAACTGTACCAAATAAGCTGGATTGCTATTCCGCGCGAAATCAATGTAAGATACTGGCATACGAGTAGGCAGATCCAGTCTTCTGATTATCTCCACTGCACGGTTTAAAGCTGCCTCGCCACGTGTAACCATCCATCCATCTAGCGCTAGCTGAACACTCATCGGCATCTCAACACATGAAATTTGCCCTTTAGTAAAAATTTCAAACGGATTCCTCTACTGAAACTATGACAATCATCCAGAAGGCTACATTTTTATGCGTTTTGTGCTGTGTAACAGCAGTACAAAACGCATATTGTCACAGGGTAGTCTGCGTGTGTGTGTGTGTGTGTGTCCGCAGCAACTTGTCCGCAACTTTCAACTCGGGAACCACAAAAGCTAGGAAAGCGCTGAATAGGGTAACGTTTCCCACCCACGTGTGACCCCACAAATTTAAATTCAGCTTCCCCGTACCCACGGGTAACGTGTACGGCCTAACGTCCCCCACTCACGTGTGACCCCGTAAATTTAAATTCAGCTTCCCCGTACCCGTGGGTAACGCGTACGGCCCCGTAAAAGTTCCTCACGAGTAAGTTAACATCTCGGGAACCACGGAGTCTAGGAGGATGAAATTTTAGGGTAATGACCCCCTACCCACGCTCAACCTTGCCCACTCAAATTCAGCCTTTCCATACCCGCGGGTAACACGTGCGGGCCCCGCGAAATTTTTTTACTGGTAAGTTAATATCTCGGAGACCACGGAGTCTAGGAGACTGAAATTTTAGGGGAATGACCCCTTGCCCCCGCTCAACCTTGACCATTCAAATTCGGCGTTCTCGCGCTCTCGGGTACCACCTACGGCCTCGTGGGTAAATTATTAGCTCGAAGATCATGGAAAGATATTCATCCTTCAAAATTTCGAATTCAGCTTTCATGCGCTGGTGCGTGAAATTTTAACTGTTTTCCAATGTCTGGACTATTTTTGCATAGACTAAAGTAAAAAGCAGTAAAAATCATTAATAGGCAATCGTTCAATGGGCTGAATTGCACAAAACGTATGATCGCACCGGCTAGTCTGGTTCGCATTGCTATTTATTTTTTGTTGAGTTTTGTAAGCCCAGAACATCACGATGTCGGCGATGCATCCCACCAGTTCTGCACAACCTATGCAGATGCCAAGCAGTACAACTGTACAACACCGTTTCCTTCCCGTGGAGTCCAGCTACTCAGATGAAACCCAGGCTGGAACGCACCAGGCGGGCCGGTGCGATTATGCATTTTTGCACTTTTCGTACCGTAG